GATTTCCCTTTCCTGTTTACCTTTTTATGCTTCTCTTGAGTCTTGTATTTGAAAGTCAAATTTTCTATTCAGCTGTGGTTTTTTTCATAAAGAGTGCTTGTAAGTCCTCTATTTCTTTGAATATTTATTTTTCCCCATGAAGGATTATACTCAGTTTTGTTGTGTAGGTGATTCTTGGTTATAATCCTAGTTGCTTTGCCCTGCAGAATATCATGTTTTAATCCTTTAATGTAGAAGCTGCTAAATCCTGTGTTATCCTGATTGTGGCTCCATGATACTTGAATTGTTTCTTTCTGGCTGCTTGCAACATTTTCTCCTTGACCTGGGGGCTCTGGAATTTGGCTATAATATTTCTGTGAGTTTTCATTTTGGGATTTCTTTCAGGAGGTGAAAAGTAGATTCTTTCAATTTCTATTTTACCCTCTAGTTCTAGAATAACAGAGCAGTTTTCCTTGATAATTTCTTGAAAGATGATGTCTAGGCTCTTTTCCAATCATGGCTTTCATGTAGTCCAATAATTTTTAAATTATCTCTCCTAGATCTATTTTCCAGGTCAGTTGTTTTTCCAATGAGGTATTTCACATTATCTTCTATTTTTTCATTCTTTTGGTTTTGTTTTGTTGTTTCTTAATTTCTCATAAAGTCACCAGTTTCCATTTGCTCAATTCTAATTTTTAAGAATTATTTTCTTCAGTGAATTTTTGTGCCTTTTTTCCTATTTGGCCAATTCTACTTTTCAAGGCATTCTTCTCTTCATTGACTTTTTGAACCTCTTTTACCATTTGGCCTAGCCTGCTTTTTAAGGTGTTATTTCCTTCGGTACTTTTTTGTGTCTCCTTTACTAATCTATTGACTTGTTTTTCATGATTTCTTGCATCATTCTCATTTTTCTTCCCAATTTTTCCTCTACCTCTCTTACTTGATTTTCAAAATCCTTTTTGAGCTCATCCATGGCCTGGGACTGATTCATATTTTTCTTGGAGGCTTTGAATGTAGGAGCTTTGACTTTGTTGTCTTTTTCTGAGTGTGTGTTTTGAGTTTCTTTGTCACCATGGTAACTTTCTATGGTCAGATTTTTTTTTTTCCTGTTTGCTCATTTCCCCAGCCTATCAGTTGACTTCTAGCTCTTTGTTAAAGTAGGGCTCTGCTTCCAGGGTGAAGGGGGAGCTGACCTAAGCTTCAGGGGTTTTGTGCAGCTGTTTTCAGAGATACTTCTAGGGACCTGTAAGTTTTCAGCTCTTCTAAGGTGGTATGATCTAAGGAGAGGCGTTTACTATTCTCTTGGCCTGTGCTCTGGTCTGTGAGTGATGACACGCACTCTTTCTTGCCCTGTAACTGGGAGGAGGGTCTTCTGGTGGCCACAAGCTCTGGTGTGCTAGTGCTCCTCCCTGACCCAGGTCTGCCACCCAGAACTGGGACCTGGATTTAGGTATGGGCAAAGCAATAGAGTCCCGCCTCAGTGCCAGCAGAGACCCCTGTATTCTCCTTCTGGCCAGTTGTTTGACTCCCTTACCATCCATGGACTGAAAGCTCTGGAACATAAGCAAAGTCATCCTTGGATGGTGGTTCCTTGAGAGATCATGAGCCTCCCTCAATGGGCCTATTTTCACCTGCATGATAATGGGAGTTCTTGTTCTGATATGGCTTGGAATAGGTGGTTACTAAGATCCCTGGAATTGCCTTTCTGCATGTGTAGTTGTCCAGACTTCACTTTCCTAAGTGTTGCTAATGCTTCCTTACATCCAGAAACAGATACCGACAGGTATGTAGCACAGGTGAATCTGACCACCCTCCCCACTCCCATTAGGAGGCAGTGTGGGATGATGGAATGGTCACTGGCTCTGGAATCTGAAGACTGTGTGATCTTGGGCTGGTCTCTTGATCTCTTTGAGCCTCAGTTAAAATGAATTCAGGAAGACCTGAATTCAAATCCTTCCTTTGTCAAATGATTATGGGCAAGCCACTTTATATTACTCAGCCTCAGTTTCCTCATCTGTAAAATGAGGATAATAACCACAATCTCACAGGGTTTTTGTGAGGATCAAATGAGATAATATCGGTAAAGAGCTTTGTAAACCTTAATGTGTTATATAAATGTTAGCTATTATTATTAGTAATACTCAGCTTCCACCTTCATTTAAAAAAATTAGAGAGTTTGGCCAGATAATCCTACTTTCATACTATTGGCATATCCAGTCATCCCTGCTGGATAGTCCCTGCCCATATGGGACTTAATTCTATTGGAGGATGGAGCATAGAAGTAAATACAAAGGAATTTGAGCATCACTGGTCTAGGAGGCACTTCAGATTTTATTTAGTTCAAACTTCATCATTTTACAGATGAGGAAACTGAGGCCCATAGAAATGGTGAAATGACCTCCTCAAGGTCACATAGGTAGTAAGTGTCAGAGGGAGGAAGCCCTGACAAAAGGGTTGGAAGAAAGAAAAGATTGGGAAAGGAAGAAAGGAGGAGGCAGTGCACTCCAGGCATGGGGGAGGACTTAGCCAAATTTGAGGAGGAGGAAGATACAGAGAGAGCATGAAAGGGAGTCGTGAAATAAGGTCCTGAAAACCAGACTGTGAAGGTCTTTGAACATAAGACTGAGCAATTTGTATTTTATCCTGAAGGTGATAGGGAGCCATAGAAAACCTTTGAGCAGGGGAGTTAACATGCAGTAAAAAGCACTCTGGATTTAGAGTAAGAGGACTTGGTTTGGAATGTTGGTTCTGCCGCCTTTTACCTGCGTCACCTTGGGCAAGTCATTGCCCTCTACGGGTCTCTGTTTTCCTGCTTGAAATAGAGGGTTGTAATAGATCGCCTTTAAGACCCTTCCAACTTTAAATCTATCTTCTTATGATCATGCCTGTGCCTCCATCAAGATTATCTTGGCTCCTGTGTTACTCTGTGGAGAATGAGTTAGAGAGAGGAGAGACCGGAGCCAGGGAGACATTGGAGGCTACCTCAGCAGCCCAGGAGGAAGGGAAATGAAATATGCTTTAGAGCTGACCTGGGGCCTTGTCAAACCACCCTGTGCTATTAAAAATGAATTCAGAATTACAAAGAACAGACTCACAAGGAATCTGAGGAGGCTGGTCTGCTGTAGCCTGGGAACAGGCCAGCCCATATTTTTTATTAGTCTCTTACCTCGATGTCCTGTTATGGAGGGTTCCCTGGGTTCTCGAAGGCTCTGCCAGAGAAGGACAAGCTACGGTAGGTCTTACTATGCTAGAAATCCTAGCCAATTGTCAAACACCCACTGTGTGCAGAGCTCTGGTTTTTATCTTGCTCTAGTCAAGTCTGCAAAGACTAAAAGGACAGGGGGAGCAGGGAGTCTGAGCTGGGAGCCAGCCTGACTCTACTCCCCAGAAGCCTCCTTCCGTGCTGCCCTGTGGTGCCAAGGTAAGAGGCAACTTTAGGGCAGCGAATAGAATGCTGAACCTGGAGACAGTAAGACGTGGGTTTCAATCCTGCCTCATCTACTTATAGGCTTTTGGTTTGGGGCCAGTAACTTAATTTCTCTGGGCCTCAGTTTATTCTAAGTTGCCAAAGGATGCTGGTGATGACCTCCTAAGGTGTACAAGCGTTGTGATCTGCGCTGGTGAGGAGAGCGTGCAGCCATGAAAAATGGAGGTATTGCTCTTAGTGATTCCTTCTTCTGGTAAATTCACTCTATCTGCAGTGTACCTCTTGTGTTGTACTCTAGGGAGGCACCTTAGAGAGACGGACTGGGCAGGATGTGATTAAATACCAGATGGTGTGGTCCTACTGTAAGAGGAAAGCTGGCTGGGAGAGGGGACCTGCATTTGGAGTCTGGAGAGAGCTGGGTACCAATCTTCCCTCTGCTCTATGTGACCTTAGTTATTTAATTTGTCTGAACTTCCTTTTCCTCATTTGCTAAATGAAGACAATGAGAACTGCAGTTCCGACCTCAGAGGGCTGCTGACATGAGAACCAGTAGGCATCTGGTTCCAGTGTCCTGACCTTCTTGGCAAGGCCAGTGGGCAAGACATATGGGAAGCCCCATGTCATCCTTAGTTATTATTTTTTGATGTCTTGGGGGATTTCTCTAGGGCTTCTGGCTGAAGTGACAGCACTTTAAGGTCTGCAAAGCACTTTATAGGCATTATTGTAATGGAGTCTTACTAGATCGTTGTACTACAAAAGTTATTATGCTTGACAGAGGAGAAAACTGAGGTATATAGAAAGGTTAAGTGACTTGCTCAGGGTCACGAAGCCAGTATGTGTCAAAGGCAAAGAGCTGAGCCCAGCTCTGCCTGAAGGTAGCAGTGGGAGAACCCTGGATCTGGAGTCAGAGGAGGTGGGTTCAAATTCTAAGCATCTGGCACCTCGATGGCCTCAGTTTCCTGATCTGTAAAGTAAGGGGGGGGCTGGAGTAGATGACCTTTGGGGTTCCTTTCAGCTCCGGATCATATGAGTCTTCGTCCAACTACCTGCTTAGATTCCTGGTTGACCTAGTCTCCCTCTCCCTTCCCCGTGGCCTCCCCTTCCTTTTCCCTACACTTTTCGGGCGCCCTCCCAGTTTCTCGCTCCCAGATCCCTGCTCCTTCCCCAAACCCGGTGTGTGGCTCGCCCTTATCTCCCCATAAGACTGTGAGCTCCAGGGGAGGAGGAGCGGGCCCCCACCGGCCTTCTCCACGCCCAGGCCAGCTAGGGTACCCCCCAGGACGCGCTTTGCAGTCCCACGGTCCCCAGTGGGTCTCTGCCCAGTCCTAGTGGTGCGCAGGGAGGTGGTACTACTAGTCTGGGGAGTGGAAGAGCCTCGGACCTCGCCCCTCCCTCCGGAGACCCATCAGGGCCCCGCCTCGCGGGTGTCTGGTGTCCTGCTCCCTGGCAGGCGCGGCCGCTGTAGCAAAGCCGCCTCCGACTGGCCCCGAGTGGCTGTCGGCTCTCCCTCCTCCCTGCCCAGGCCAGCCCGCCCCCCAGCGCTGCCCTCACCAGGCTCCGGCTGGCTCGGCTCTCCCTGGCCGCCCGGCTTGGGCCAGCCCCGGGCGCCTGTGCCTGTGCCCGCGCCGGCCCCTCTTTCTCTTTCTCCCTTGCGCCCCGGGCTGCCCGGCTAATCGCCCCGGAGCCATGCTGTGCTGCCTCTTACAGCGGGCCATCAACCTCCCCAGTGTGGAGAAGAAGGACCGGCACAGCGATCCCGTGGCTAGCTTGACTTTCCGAGGTGAGAGCCCGGGGCTGCCGATCCGAGGGGGCCGGGCCAAGGCCCCTAAGGCGCGGCGTCCTGGGGCTATACCGACCCACTGGCGTGCCCGGGTAGAAGGGACCTAGGACTCTAGAACGGGGCCCCTAAGAGCCCAAAGTTAGGGAGAGCTGGAAGGGCCCTGGGAACCCAGAAGGTCAGAGCTGGGAAAAGGGACTTTAAAATACGGGATCAGAGGTGGAAGAGATCCTAGAATAGAGAATGTCACAGCTGGGAGATGGTATCGAGATCAAGTCTGGGCAGAGAGACTGTGCAGAGACAGCCTAGCTCAGGGCTTCTTAACCTGGAGACCTCATTCCCCCAAGGGATCTGTGGGTAGATGTCAGGGGGCCCATGAACTTTGGATGGGAAAAAGTCAACAGACATTTTGATGGGCTAGAGGGCAGCTGAGGTGTCCGCTGTCTGGAGAATTCTGTGATTCTGCCAATCATTGAGCGGTGTCCATCTTATAGACCAGGTGTTCTTAACCTAGAGTCCCTGATCTTGATTTAAAAAAAAATCGATAACAGTATTTTATTATAATTGGTTTCCTTTGTAATACTATGCCCTTTATTTTACTCATTGCACAGCATTCTTCTGAGAAGGGGTCCGCGTAGGCTTCACTTTATTATTCAAGGAGTTTATGACCCCCAGAATATTAAGAATTCCTGCTCTAGTCCAATCCCCTCGTTTTTACATATGAGGAAACTTAGTGAGAGGACTTGCTAAGACCAAACAGCTCCTTTAGCTGCTCTGTTGTGAAGCCTCTTGAATGAATTATTTTTAATTATAATGAGTACAATAAACATTCCTTAAACACCTGATGTGCATGGAGCAGCCTACTAAGCTCTGAGTGAGACACGAGGTTTAAGTAAGATACTTTTCCTTCTCTCTTGAATTTATTTGCCAGTGATGGTGGCAATATGACAGCTGCACAGATAATTATAATAAAAATATCATAGAATAAGTGAATTAAAGAGGTATAAACAAATGACTCCGTGAGGTCTAACATGGGTCAACACCATTAATTCACTGAAGGATTTTGGGGCAATAGCTATATGAGCCAGTTGTTAAATTTTTAATGGGAGCATTTAATCCTCAGAAACTAGGCACAAATTTACATAACAGGTCTTAATTATTGTTTTCTGGATTGTCTAGAGTTATGAAAGTGATGGAGAAAATTTTAATAATGCAGGTTAAGCTGAAAAGTGTGTCCTGCAGACTTTTTTTTTTTGAGAGAGAGCTGGTTGTTAAACATTTACCAACACACTTCTGGCAATAGGGTGTTGGGAGCCCTGGGCTGTAGAGAGTAGTAATCGAAAAGGGGTAGGGAGGGGAGGAGAGAGTGAATATACTTCAGATATAAGGAACAGCTTGAGCAAACACAGGAAGGCAGGAAATGGGACTGTGAGTAGCCTTCCTGGGCTGGGTGAGGGTGGAGGCAGCTTGGATTGGGAGCTAGGCTTGAAGCCAGGAAGACCTGGGTTTGAGTCCCACCCCCGATACATCCTGGCTGTGTGACCTCGAGTAAGTCACTTAGCTTTTCTGGGCTCTCTAGTCAGTTCTGTAAGTCTATAAAGGACAGAGAAGGTTTGGTTCTGCCTTGATGGAGGAATTTTCCTCAGTAGACAATTCCTATATCAGTGAAACCATAAGTCTGATTTTAAAAATGGAATGAAGGGTAAGAGATGAGAAGTGGATGAGTCTGGAAAGGGAGGACAGCACTAAATTGTGGGGGACCTCAAAGGGCTATCGGAGAACTTTACTTTGTCGTGTAGGGAGCCATTGGAGGGTTGTGAGCAGAGTGCCGTGCCTAGATCCGTGTGAGGAGGGCTCTCTGGCAGATGCAACTAAGGTTCTTAACTTATGTGATGCCCTGGACCAGTGGACAGTTTGATGGAGCCTATAGAACCCTTCTCGTGCTGCTTCAAATGAATTAAATAAATGACATCATGTTGTCTCCCCCATTCCCTGGCTTCCTTTAAGTTCCAGCTAAACTTCCTCCCTTCTACAGGAAGCCTTTCCCAGCCCCTCTGAATTCTAATGCCTTCCCTCAGTTAATTATTTCCTATTTACTCTATATTTAGCCTGTTAGCACCAAGTTGTTTGTGGGTTGTCTGCTCCTCAGAATGTGAGTTCCTCAAGGCCAGGGACTGTCTTTTGCCTTTCTTTGTATATTCAGTGTTTAGCACTGTGCCTGGCACGTAATAAATGCCTAGGCATTTCTTGGCAGCTAGGTGGCACAGTGGATAGACTGTTGGGCTTGGAATCAAGACTTACCTTCATGAGTTCCCATCTGACCTCAGATACTTCTTAGCTGGGTGACCCTGGGCAAATCGATTAAACTCGGTTTGCCTCAGTTTCCTCACCTGTAAAATGAGCTGGAGAAGGAAATGGCAAACCACTCCAGTATCTTTGCCAAGAAAATCCCAAAAAGAGGTCATGAAGAGTTGGACGTGACTGAACAACTACAACAACATGCCTATTGACTGGCAAAGGAAATGAATTATATCAATTAATAAGCATTTATTAAGCACCTGTTATGTGCCAGGCACTATGGTACATGTGGTTGAAAGATAGACATATATGTATACACACACACACATATACACATAGATATGCACATATACATATATACGGATAGATACATACTTACACAGACACACACATATATGTATTTCCCATCCAAGTGCAAGGATTCATGAAATCTATCCGTTGACCCCTTGGATTAAGAACTCAGGGAAGAGAAAAAGTGAGTGGGCAGGCACAGCTACACATAAATTCATCTTACTCCATGGTTGTCATTAACTTGTGTATGACCATAGGTAAGTAACATCCTCTCTGGGCCTCAGTTTCCTTATTTGTTTTGGGACAGCATGACCTTGTGGATAGAGTGGATTCAGGAAGATGAATTCACATTCGCTACTGGTGTTACCCAGAACCAGGCACTTAAGTATGGGAGGTGAGGGGAAGGGGCATTCTGGTAAACGTTTACCAACTGGCTGTCTGGAATAAAATGTATATAGGACACACTTTCAAATTTAATCTGCATTATCAACATCAGCTCCGTCACTTTCTTAAGTCCAGATAATCAACAGAATAATACGTAGTGACCCAATTTCTAGTGCTTGTGGATTTCTGAGGTGTAAATGCTCATGTTGAATTTAATAGTTGGCTCTCCCAAGCCTGGTTCACCCTTGAGCTTAACTCCTGTGGGACTCAGTTTCCTCATTTGTCATGTTGGATTTGTTCAGCCGTTTCAGTCATGTCTGACTCTTCATCCCTCCATTTGGGGTTTTCTTGGCAAAGATACTGGACTGGTTTGTCATTTCCCTCTCCAGCTCATTTTTCAGATGGGGAAACTGAGGCAAACAGGGTGAAAGGACTTGCCCAGGGTCACACAGCTAGTAAGTGAAAGATTTGATAAGTAAGAGGATATTGATAGTAAGAAGATTTAAACTCACAAAGATGAGGCTTCCTGACTTCAGGCCCAGGGTTCCACCCACTTCACCCCCAGTGTAGAACTAGATGACCTCTAAAGTCCCTTTGAAGTCTAGATTTAGGATCCCATGATGGAGGGCTGCTTTGAGAGTGAGCTTCCTCCTCCCCGTCATTGGAGGTCTTGGTGATCACTTGTAGGTGTGTGGTAAGGGTCCTTGTTGGACTGTTTCCTCAGATTCCCTCCCACTCAGGAGTTCTGGGAACAGGAACTTAGAGTTAAGAAGGAAAATCTAAAGAAACTCGGAATGACTCAAGATTGGGTAGCTATGCTTCAGATTAATTCCATACTTTAAGGATCTGTAATTTCTTCAGTCAGTCAACTAGCATTTATCATGCTGCTTGCTATGTGCCAAGACATGTGCTAAGCACAGAGAACACTACTACCAGTGGGGAAAAAGTCCCTGCTGTCATTTACATTCTAATAGGAAAGTCGAAATGGCTGGGGTGGGGCATCAACGTATGGTGGAAGAAGTCTGAAGAGGATTACAACCCTCTGTAATTTGGTCAGTGATCACTGGGGATAGCTATGGCCTCAGAAATTCCTAACCCCTCGTTCCTGGTGATTAACCTCTCCAATTTCACCAGACTTAACCATCCTCAGATGACATGTGCTGGTCTGTGCTTCATCATAGTCCCCAAATATATGACCAATTGTTCCAAGAGTTTCTCGTTCATTGCATTCCCTCTCTCCCTTAGGAGAGAAGACACTGTTTAGGAATGATTTAGGCGAGACATAAGGAATCACTTTTTTTCTTCCTCCTTGAAAGGACTTTTCCTCATTCAATTTCAGTGAATGTTAACAAATCATTAAACATACTTAATACGAAGTACTAGTAGTTGGCTTTGAGGGGTCTGAGAGGATGGAAAAGGCTTCATTCAACTTTCTGCTCTGCTAGTGTGATTTATGTGACTTCGGGCAAGTCACTTCCCTTCCTCTCTGTAAAATTAAGTCTAATCTAAGAATTCTTAACCTGTTCTGTATCCCAGACCCTTTGGCAGTCTGGCAAAGCCTGTGGATTCCTTCCCAGAAGCATGTTTTTAAATACAGAAAAGAAAATGCATAAAGAGTACAAAGTAAATCAATGATTGAAGTATTTTTATCAACATTAAAAAAAAATAAGTTCTTGGACCTCCTGTTTAAGAACTTCTGAACTGAAAGTTCATTTCTTTGCTTTTAGGCTTTGAGCCTGGTGATCCTGTGACTTAGACTCAATCTTGGCCCTCAAGGAGATTAACTTCTAGAAGGGGGTACAGGGCTAGCAGTCAATCAACTGATAAACATTGATTAAGCACCTACTGTATCAGGTGCTAGGGATGCCAAGACAGAAGCCATCCCTTCAAGAAGCTCACATTCTATAGAGGACACAGCATCATGTGTGTGTGTGTGTGTGTGTGTGTGTGTGTGTGTGTGTGTGTATGTGTAGAGAGAGAGAGAGATAGAGACAGGGAGAGACAGAGAGAGAGATAGAAAAAGAAAGAGG